CCTTAGGGAAAAGGACATGATGATGATGTCAAGCATATATTTTTCAATAAAAAAATGTTAGAGTTCTCCTTGGAACGCTTTCACAGTTGTGGATGACGTCACTCTGATGCATGGATGACAAGGAGACACATGATTTAGTTGTTTGTCATTTCCTTGCTGTTTGCCATTTTGGAAAGTGGAAGGAGAAGAACAAGTGATTACGTTTGTGTTCAGCGAAGCTGTAAAGAGTGTTACAGTGTTCATGTTTTCGTTGAACACTGCCTTTCGGAAACTGCACTCACAAACAAGTGAAACAAACTGCACACACACTCACCACACCATTAGCAAGGGCCCAACATGAAATTGAAGCCTGGAGTATGTGAGCGCTTGTTGTTAACGCCAAAGGTGGCAACAGAGCATGCTGTTCTGTGACAATTTGATAATTAGATTAGTTCTTGTTTATTGGTCAAAAGAAAATTTGCGTGTTAAATGAAGCAAATCTTTCCTCTTTCATTCCTTCATGCGACATTCAACTTTCTTCCATTCATCTCCAGCCGTGAAAAAAATACAAGCACATCTTCCGAGTGTTTTTCGAGAAAACAAGGGTGTACTGTAGGTTACATACCTTTGTGAGGAAAACAAAAGTATCAAGTTACAAACGTTTGCATGAAAAGTAAAATTGTCACTTTCACTATTTCGCTACTTAAATGTATTATTTAATTAAAATGAGCAAAAATCAACGTAAAACACTACAGTAAAATTCAAGAGCTGTCTCGACAAACAGTAATTAATTGTAAGTTAGTCTTGGACTGTGAATGAAAATACACATCAAACATACACACTGCCAAGATTATGTCTTATCAAAATCCATAGCTGACTAGCAAGGTCAATACAAACCAGGAGTGAATGGCAGGGGTTATATACAAACTGTGTTATGAGTATTGCATCAGAGCTATACATTACCCTCTGCACTATCTGAGATTATCTCACTAGTTGGTTATTTGCATATTTTGCTCATAATTATTTTAATTTTTTAATGTTCCGGGATTTTCCAGATTGTTCCATGTTCCGGCTTTTATTGACAGCCGATATTAGCTTGTAAAGGTTTGTAAACAAATCGTGCCACGCCAGGAGATTATCTTGCCTTATGAAACCGCAAACTAATGGAACAACACCACCTCCTAGCATCAATGAAAATAGATCAGGATTTCCCGGGAAAAGCATCGCGTTGCAAGACGTTTTCTATCTCACTGTTGCATTGAAAAGAAAGACACTCAAACGGGCAAAGTAGCCAAAGGCAAAAGAACAACCCCCGGCAAGACAGACAAGCCAGCAAATGTACCGATAAGCACAACAACAAATCAAAGTACAAACAGCTCAGGCAGACTGCTAATAAAAGAACCTTAGTTTGTGGGTTTCAGTAAGGTGTTTTTGTTTTCTTTCCTACACAGAAATGGGTCCTTTTTTCTTCTTTGGCTTGTTTTTTTCTTTTCCTCAGTCCAAGGAAAGTTTTCTGTTTTTAATTTTCCACTTGAGAACAAGTGCAAAGGGCTTTTATTTACAAATTTGTCAAGTGAACCATGTAAACAATACCAAATGACACAAACTACAAACTCCAAAATGAGCATTTGTGACGAATTTTCCCCTGGCGGTTTTGTCCATTTACAAGATTATGACACCTTCCTGGTTTATTAATTTTTTGAAGATATGTTTTTTCCTGATATCTAGGCCACTTTTTGAGATTTTTAATATTTTTCTTTTGTGAACATTAGGTAAAATTACTGACTTTAAATTTGAAGGTGGGAAGTAATTTTAACAGAATCGAATGGTGTACAAAAAATGAAGAGAGATTGTTGTTGTGTTTTGTCCCAAAGGGGCTAAGAGCTAATTGTAATTAGAGGATAAAGTACATTGTAAGTAAGTTAACAGTATTCTGCAATTAATTTCCCACTTAAAAGTTGTAACGCCTTGTCTATGTTGATACCAGAAATCCAAGAAAATCTATGTTACCTAATGTACCTATTTCTACAGCTTTATCTTTCCAGTGATTGCCTTCTCACTTGTAACAAGTCAACCCCTAGATATTTACATTTAAAAACAATGGTAAAAGGTATTTGGTGTGTTTAAAAAGAAAAACTTTTTAAACATGATCCTCTAATTTTTTATTCCTTTTTTCTGTCATGTGCAATGACAGCTTGTGAGTGTTTTACTTGAGATGGAAACTGCAACAGTTACATCGCTCTTGTTGACATTAAGAATTCCAGAAAGTTAAACACAATTTGGATTTAACAGAACAACCATACCTTAACGAAATGCATTATCGCTAACAGTATTGTGATTTATTCTGAAAACTTTAAAGCTTAGCAATACTCTCTGTACTCATTTTCCATTATTATAAGTTCAGACACTCTTATAATGGCTGGAACCTAGGATTCAGTGAACCAATCAAAAGGATAGAAATACAGTATGCAAGGAAGGGTGTTAATTAAAATTGGTTATTCCAGCGAAAATCTGCACTCTGTTAGTTGTTTTATCTTTCTCAGACCTAAATTTAGCATGCAAATTTTGTTAATCCATGCTGATTTATGACAAGCAGGTACCCAGCAAAATACAGACCAACACTGTCTAGTTAATCTTCAATAAGCTTCAGCTGCCAATCCAAAACTGTTTTCATTACATTACTTGACAAGTAACTTTACCTGCCACGATGCACCCGGAGCTCAGCCTTCAAGAGACAAATGGAAACCATGATTGAGGACAGAAAGGTTAAGGGTCAATCCGCACTGAGGACAAAATCTTCTTTTGTCCATGGCAAATCCAAAAGAATTTGTCAGACTTGACAAAACTTATTTGCCCTGGTAATCCACACTGTTTGTGTACAGCTTGTCACATTACTTATTCTTTCCTTTCACTAATCCATGTGCATATATAGCTCGTTCAGTTGAACGTGATCAATTGTGGTATCTGATTGTGATATATAGAGCAAGAGGTCAGATAGAACCGGAACTTGTCAGTGATGCCTGTCATGAAAACAAAAGAAAGAAACATGGACAAAAAGTTTGTAAGCCTCTGAGGTAGGACAGTGACTCCTTTGATAAATTTGTCCGAATTGAAATATTTTGTCCTTGCAGGGCAAATCATTAGCGCTGAGGAAAGTTATGTGTTGACAGATTTTTTAGCTAAAATAAACGGGGCAGTCAATTTTTTTGCTCTGGCCCCAATTTTTGTGCAGCCAGAATGTGGAAAAGCTCTTCCTATGGGAACGCTTGCTAGCAGGCTTCCTTCACTTTTAGTCCAATCTCTTCAAAATGGCTCAAAAAGACCTAGGAACACAGGTAAATAACAGTACATTTATTTTACATGAATGTAAATGATTACATTATTGTTGATACAGTGTTCGCGTACCCTGTGGTAAAGATTACTTTTCACCTTCAGGGCTGTCCTTCAGGAAAAAATTCATACACACGCCAGTTTCAATACAACCCTGACAAAGTATGTATCAGAAGAAAGCTTAATAAATGAAGCTTACGATAGAAATACAATTTAAGCGAGGTTTTATTTTAGGAACTACAGGAGTTGGTTAAGCGTGAAACGAGCAAAGGTTCTTCTATTGAATTTGGCGGTTATTGGATGCTGGAACACGAGCAAAATGGTTGCGCAGTCTTATCACAAGGCATCAATCAACAAAATTGCGTCAGGCTTTTTTGATATTCTGATTGGTTGTCTAGGTACTCGCATCTAAAGTTGAAGTAGCTAAAAGTATGTGAGGTGTGTTATGTGAATGGACGCTGCAGAAACATGCGAAATATCAAAATTTCCTGATGCATGTTACTTTGTTTTTCATTATCCCTGGAATGTTTTGGTAAAATGTCACAAAAATCCATCAATTGTAGCTGCATTCCCTATAAATTCAATCAAGTAAACAGTATTCTGCAATAAATGTCCTACTTAAAAGTTGTAACAATTTGTCCATGCTTAGATACCAGAGATCCAAAAAAATATGTTACATAATTCAGCTATTTCTACACCTTTATATATCTTTCCAGTAATTGCCTCTCACTTGTAGTAATTCAATTCCCTGATACTTACATTTAAAAACAAAAATCTCCAACTAAATGGAATAAAACTATGCATAAGCCCACAAGTATGCATTGTGGACTTATTTTTAACATTGTGTCTAGATACCTGGCAACCAGGAGGTGTTTTCAGAAAACTAGAGAAATACAGAATTTCCACTGAATATCTCAGGCAGTTCTTCTCAGAATAGTACATCTTTGTTTAGAAAATAATATCAAGCAATTTCAAGTATTATTTTGGGTTTGTATTTGAGGAAATTTTCAAGCTTGGGCACATAGTGTAAAATCATTAGTTTCGACACTTAGAGTAAATTCCAGAGTCAGTTCTCATAGAATGATATCTACAAAAATTAAGGTTGAAACCCTGCAAGCATTTTCAAAATTTGTTCAGAAATACCAAGCAATTGTAAATAATGGTTTGGTTCTGAAGTGGATGAATTCTCCCAGGTTGGACATACTAATAAAGATATTGATCGACTCAGAGGGAGTGACCTCCGGCCTTGCACACAACATACAATAAACAGAGGCTAAGGGAACAGAGAGTGTTGGCTGTGAAACCATGCTTTTTTGGTGAATTAGAATTCTATTGTTTGTTTTATTGACTTCTCCCACTAGTATTAACCTATTTGTGGTTGATTTGGGACTCTCCTAGGTTTTCCTCAGTCTTGTAATCATAAAACAATGTACAGTGCTATTTTGCTAGTGTTGTTTTGCAATTTTGTATTGCATTGTGTGTATTATATTTATATTGAATACAAAATAGACAAAATAAAATTTTATGTTATTGATTTGTGAATGGTGTACATGTAGGTGTTCATTTTATGTTCAAATTGGACATTTGTGGTCAATAATTAGAGGTCTGGGGAGAAACAATGTCTTAATCATTGTTACTACAATAAAAATTGTTTGCTTACTGGACCTTTCATTTTGTTTGTTACTTTATAGTTGATTGAACCATATCTAGACTTGGACATAAAATACTTTGATCTTGGACTACCAAATCGAGACAAGACAGATGATAAAGTGACAGTAGAAGCTGCTGAGGCCATAAAACATTTCAGTGTCGGAATCAAATGTGCAACTATCACTCCAGATGAGGATCGTGTTAAAGGTATTGTAAAGATAATCCCATTCAGTGCTATTCTCACATTTCATAAATTAAGTAGAAGACAGTAGATGAGAATTTAGTATTAATTTTGTGGTTTTGGGCAGTAACTGGTATTATAACTTTACAAAGAGCAGAGGAATTTTCACCATGACAAGGATATCTTTATATTATTCAGTTAATTGCGTTTGAAGAACGCAAACCTACTTTTGACCTGTGACTTTCTGGGGTTGGTTGCCCTGTGCACAGTTATATGCAGAAAAATCCACATTCCTGTAAGGACATCAAAATGGCCACCCTGCTTGATTTTTGCAGGGGCATGTCACGGCCAGTAAACTGGTACCGTTTAATGCTAAGACATGTGATAAGATGTGGCGAACATGTGAGTATGTGAGCAGGCCATGTGAGCTCATCTTTCCGCTGGATCTTTGACTTCTTTCCATTCAGTCGCCATACGCTTTGTTATTATGTGTGCTCAGCATTAGATTTTGGTGAATTTAAACGCTTCGACGGTAGCATTTATCGAAATATGAGGGAATTGTCCTTGTCTGTTAACACGACTTGGCTTTGGGATGTTAACTGTGGGAACAGCTACATTCTGATTGCATTTGCTGGTTAGTTCCAGTTGCGACAGATAGCTCAGTCTTTATCTGGTCAAAATCTTATTGTTTGGAATTGGTGGAAAAGTACTCTGAAGGCAAGTTCCAGAAGTCTACTTTATTCATCAGGGGAAATACTCCAATTAGTCGCACAGAGTTTGTTTACGATAAATGAGCATGTGATTGCAAATGCTAGCTTAACTTTGTGCTTCCAGTTTAGAATAATGTACGTAATTTAAATATTCTATGAAACTTGCTACAGAAACTGGCGACGTCATGCAAATTAACAACAAATCGTGACCTCTTCACTAGCATGGACTTTGATACTATGCATACCTGACTGTAAAACCTCTGTTGCTCAGGGTGAGAGGAAATTCAAAATCTCTGCTTGCCCTTTGGGCGAGCCGTAATTTCATCTTACTAGCCCAAATCTCTGAGGAGCTAGCCCAAAATTATTTTATTTAATAAAGATGATTAAATCAATTTAACATCCAAAAATTATGTTCATTAATAGTACGGAGGTTAGATGAACTTATTCTCTTTGATTTCGCTTTTGAATTAAACCCTATACAATAAAACATTTAGAACACTCAATGTGCAGTTCCAGAAAATATCCATACCCCCATGCAGGGTTTTTCCAGTTTGACCCCCACCCCCAGGATTTTCCATTTCAGGGGGGGCTTTACAGTACTCCCCCCATCCCCTGGAATTTCCATGACTTGTTTACTTGGGTCCCCCTACCCCTTGGAAATTCCATAGCCGTAAATAACAAGACTTCAGTCATTTATTTTAATCTCCTAGGTACTGTAATAAAATTTAGCCACAGCTATTCATGTTTATATTGTAGACAAAGACACAAGGTGGCATGTTTTTTCACAAACAATTTTAAACCTTGATCTGGTCGCACAACGTACACAATTTTATCGCACGTTAGTTGTGGGGATATTTACTAGGTTAGGATCAAAGTTGCTGGGTAATGAAAGGTTGAGGTTCTGAGATTCAATTTTCTAAAAACTGACCGTGGAAAATTCTAGATGTAAATTCATGTCATATTAAAAATGAGTTTGAACTAACAACTGACTCAGGAGCACTTCACTCCCAAATGGCATAGCAGCTGACTACTTCTTCATTCAAGGAAGTTTTCACAAGAGAATATACAGAGTTTGTTCATGATAAATGAGCATGCGATTGCAAATGCTAGCTTAAATTTGTGCTTCCAGTTTAGAATAATGTATTTAATTTAAATATTCTATTAAACTTGCTACAGAAACTGGTGGCGTCACGCAAATTATCAACAAATCGTGACCTCTTCACTAGCATGGACTTTGATACTATGCATATCTGACTGTAAAACCTCTGTTGCTCAGGGTGACAGGAAATTCAAAATCTCTGCTTGCCCTTTGGGTGAGCTGTAATTTCATCTTGCTTGCCCAAATCTCTGAGGAGCTAGCCCAAAATTATTTTATTTAATAAAGATGATTAAATCAATGTAATATCCAAAAATTATGTTAATCAATAATACGGAGGTTAGATGGACTCATTCTCTTTGATTTCGCTTTTGAATTAAACCCTATACAATAAAACATTTAGAACACTCAATGTGTGGTTCCAGAAAATATCCATACCCCCCATGGAGGTTTTTTTTTTCCAGTTTGACTCCCACCCCTAGGATTTTCCATTTCAGGGAGGGCTTTACAGTACTCCCCCCATCCCCTGGAATTTCCATGACTTTTCTACTTGGGTCCCCTACCCCTTGGAAATTCCATATCCATAAATAACAAGACTTCAGTCATTTATTTTAATCTCCTAGGTACTGTAATAAAATTTAGCCGCAGCTATTCATGTTTATATTGTAGACAAAGACACAAGGTGGCATGTTTTTTCACAAACAATTGTAAACCTTGATCTGGTCACACAACATACACAATTTTATTGTACATTATTTATGAGGATATTTACTAGGTTAGGATCAAAGCTGCTGGGTAATGAAAGATTGAGGTTCTGAGATTTAATTTTCTAAAAAAATGACCGTGGAAAATTTTAGATGTAAATTCATGTCATGTTAAAAATGAGTTTGAACTAACAACTGACTTAGGAGCGCTTCACTCCCAAATGGCATAGCAGCTGACTATTTCTTAATTCAAGGAAGTTTTCATAAGAGAATCTAAGAAACTACTGAAAATATAAGCTCCTTTAAAAAAAAAACCCAGTCAAAGTTTTAATTTATGCATAGGTGAAAACAATGTATCGAATTACTTTAGCAGGAAAGTAAAGCCGTCACGCAACATGTTTTTCAAAACACCTGTTTGCTAAATATTGGTGAAATTTTTCTTTCGGGAAACGAATACATTCATAAAGTCATACGCTTTGTCTTTGTAGTTCGTAAATGATAGTGAAGCAATGTTTTTGTTCAGTTGCACTATTAAATAATCAAATGAAATCTTGGCTACAGCTCCAGTGCTGTGCTTCGAGACAATTAGACAACTGGCATTGAATCGGCTTTGGAAGCTACACGGATAACAATGAAAATATTTTTAGGGCAAGTTTTTGTCTCGCGCTGCTGTCGCGCTGTCGGGACATGCGGTTGGGAAAAAATTAATTTCGGTGGCTTAACTTTTTACATTTTACTCTATCAAAGAAAAACCATTTATATTGTTTCACTTTCTCTCACGAACTCTCTGCTAAACACAATGTCTGAAGTTTGTCATTAGAAAAAAAAAAGACTAATGTCACTCATGTCCAATTCATGCTTGCCCAATGCTTAGATGTCCGCATAACACATTTTTCTCAAAACCACCTTGAACTTCAATCCCTGTAACTCTTTGTCCACTTCAGAACATTTATCCTGCATGGATAATAGCTGCCGGATGTCCTTGCTTCTCAGCTTGGTCCATCACCAAAGCAGTCAATGGTGACACAATAATTGCAATCTAGCAATGCTTTGCACCATAAAACAAAAAGTTAACATACTCGGCAAAAGTTGATATGTTGAATACTTGCCATAGATATCGTACATACATACATACATACACACTTTATTGTCATCCTGTTGGGAGGATGGCTAAAACATCTCTCTTTTGCTGCACCACTACTCTCAAAGCCTCTAATTATTTAGTTTTTAACTCTATATCATTATGCAGGTTATCCATGTTCATTTAAGGAAAACTTCAAAGCGTAGTCAAATTCAATATCTGACAAGTGCGCCTTGGCCATGCGTAAAGTCTTCAATGACGAGCAAGGATGCCACTTACAATACTTGATAGCTAACCTTAACCCAGAAGCAAACTCACACTTAACTTACCTTAACACTAAAATATTGGAACGTTGCTTGACCTATAAATTTTACGCCCCTGAGGTTCTGAGGCTTTTGTTCCACCATTTTGGGACTTTATTTTTGGCATGCACTCTTCCTCACCTGTCACATTCCTGACAGGTGATTACATGGTACAAATTGGATTTGACCAGATCTTACCTTCAGCTTCTCTCACGTGAGATCTGGGAACAAGAATATTTTGTCATAACATTGTCATTGTTTCCTCAATGTCTGTTTTGTAGAATTCAATTTGAAGAAGATGTGGCGTAGTCCCAATGGCACAATTCGTAACATATTGGGGGGTACTGTATTCCGAGAGCCAATAATTTGCCAGAAAGTTCCTAGACTGGTTCCGGGATGGGTGAAGCCAATTGTGATTGGAAGGCATGCTCATGGTGATCAGGTACATTGTAACAAGCAAATACTTATAAGTATTTAAATAACATGTTAACCTCAACACAGTCTGAAATGCAATAATTATGTAAATGAAAGACAAGAACAAGGCATGGTGAACAGGTCAATGTATGTCTTACTCGATTTGAAGAGTTGCGTAGGAACAGAAAGACATTCCTTGCTATCTAGTAGCCTTTGTTTTGTTCTCATTCAATTGAGCTATTTTGTATGGTTTTGCAGCAAAGATCAAGGTATTACTGAAGCTAAGGATTTATAATGCAAAGGAATGAAATTGACTGTCAATTATTCAGGTTTTTGATGAACCAGAATTAGAATGAGCAAACCTATGAAAAACCTGAACCAAATATATTTCTACACCTCTTGTGTGCTTTCTTAAAGTGCCTCTAACCTCAAATATGTTCTATTTCTTTTTGAAAAGAATACTTAATTTGGTGAAGATTAAAAAAAATTGATTGAATCCATCAAATCCTCATGAATTTAGGAAGGTTTGGAGCTGCAATGTTCTGGTTCATGGCTTCTTGAAAGGAGATCTGGGACCTACATGTAATGTAGCTGTGACGTCAGCCAGGAAGCCAATTACAACTGTAGGTTTCTGAATTTCCAAGGGTAGTGTCAAAAACAGACCCCGAAACCGAAGACCCGAAGACCCACTATGAAAATGAAGACCCCCTACAAAAATTTGAGGGATGATTACTGCCAAATTTAAGTTTGAGATTTAGTTATGCTGTTTGCCAATGCAGTTTTTAATGCTTTCACTGGTGTTTTTGATGTTACGAATTGTGTTCAACATGTTCTCAATAATATGTTTGCCAAAACATCGCTGTTGTTTTGTTGCCCCTGTATTTGATTATTCATTGCAAATTATGTTTTCTGTGTCAACAATTCTCTTCTGTATCTACACATTGAGTCGTTCCATATGGTGTTATGCGAACTGCGATTCTATTATTTGTGTTTCGAAATATGTTCCTCTAGATCTGGGTCTTCGTTAAGCGTAGAGCTTGACCACTATGGTCTGGCATGAATGATAAATTATGCATATTTTTCCTGCAGAAAGAAAAATTAATGTGTGCCACTCTTTGTCATCGTACAAAGCTAGATTCGGCTGGTCCAACCACCAGTGGCTCTTGAAAGATACTTAGAAGAGGTTAAAGCTCAATTTGCCAAAATACAACTTACAAAGCTTAAAGACAATCTGCCTAACACAGAACAAAAGGGGTTGAAAATGCTACAAGAAGATCCCAACATCAATTTTAAATAAAGTAGACAAGGGAACATGAATGGTTGTCTTAAACACTTACAATAAAATTCTAGAAGGACAAATCGGGTAGACAGCCTTGAACACTACAAACCCTTTGAAAGTCCTATGGTTTAAAGACATTCCTAAGGGTACAACAGAAGCATCACACACAGTTTCTAAAAATAGATTACATCACCAGCATGACTATATTGACGACATGGCCAACCTATGGTTTTATCAAAACACCTAACCTGTGTCATACACCAGTGTTCTACACGCTTACAAAAATTCACAAACCAACTCCAGTTGGAAGACCCATAATATCTGGATGTGATGGTCTGACTGAAAGGCTGTTTGCATTTGTAGACAAACTCCTTCAACCCATAGCAAAAGAACAGGAGTCATATCTTGAAGACATGACATACTTCATCAATGTCACAGAATCAATTAAATTAAAGGCCCCAACCTGGGCTGCCTTGTGTCACTTGTTTAGTGTGAAGAAATCCATGGCCAAAACAAACAAGTGTAATGTTACATGTAGATCAAGTAGACAGGATAGATTTTTACTTCTGTTAGTTTAGCGAATAAAACTCAATCTGCCTCGATCTGGGCCGATTCAACCCTTATCGACAATTGTCTTTTTGTAATTTATACCTGTTTGCTTACTCTTGGAAAATGCACATTACATGATAGTTTTTAATTGGCTAATTGTGATTCCTAGATTTTACTTATGTTATGGTTACATTTATTTTTTTGGGACTTCAGTATTTACAATCCTTTATCAAAAAGGTTTCCTAACACAGGTCACACACTTTCAAATTCCATGTCATTTATGTGGCTCTGTATTTAAGACAACTTAAGCTTAAATCTGCTATTTGTTGCTTTATTTCATGGAATGAAGTAAGAGTGATATCAGAGGAATCAAAAACCAGTCAGTGAGAATAAGTTCTGGGTAATTTGCGTATTGCTTCAAAGTTTAGACCATGCCCTCAAGCTAGCCTGTACACGGGCTACTCTCATGCTAAAAATAACATGCAAACTGATTAAAAAGAATACAAGCATACAATTCTGGTAGCATTATAAATGCAATTTGATCTGGCCTGATGCCCTGATCGGACTAATGGTGGTATATAATATACAGTGAGGTATTGACAATAGCCCTAACAATATTAATGAACCGCACAGCCATGGGCTGAGCGCGGTTCATGTTCTACCTGTGGTTTATTTATTTATTTTTCTTGTTGGTGACCAGACCCAAACTCCCTCTCGGCCAAATTTTGAATCACACAACCTTTGATGTTTATTCGCCTAAAGCTGTTCAAAAATTGATACACGGACAATGTTACGGATATTGTTTTCTTTATTGTGGGTAAAATATATTTTCTTTTGGTTTTATTGAAGTGTTGGATCCCAATTGAATAAATAAATACGCTAAAAAAAAGGTATTACGTCAGCGATAGAATGCGCTGACGTTGCAGCTTTCACTTTCACTACATGGCAAATAACATCGTGTTTACTTTGCAAGTTGATTTTGCCAGAAGTGACGGTCATTAATTTATTTGCAATTTTGCGAGTATTTCTTGTGGTTTTAGGCAAATGAAGTAAATTCTTTGGCTGTTTCATCGCGGCGAGTTCGGTGATCAGAAGGAAAATTAAATATTTGCAAGCCAAGCAAAGAACATGTCAGAATGTGTAAGGATTATGTAATTGGTAGGGAAATAACCACCATACTAAAGGTAGCTGTGGATAACGGAAGTTGTGAATTATGTGACTCGTGTGACTACTTTGCTAGCTCTTTACTCGTGGAAAACACCAATTAAATTTAATCATGACTTTTAAGAAAGAAAGCTGTTGTTAATAGTGTTATTATTGTATCGTTCATATCGTTCATGCCCATACATATCCCGAAGAAAGTTCCAGAATAAGACCATTACGTCATTGGAAATTTCACAACAGCTATGACTGCAGTTGCAATAATACAGGTTGTGCTGATCAAGTGATGTTGGTCTTAAGAACTCAATAAGTCATCAAGGACTGCTTTGGAATGTGCACTGCATTGCGACTGTAGTGCCACCAAAACAGTTAACTTTTAAAAGTGCGTTTGTAAGATCTAAAAGATCTTCTTGTTTCTTTAGTTTTGTCGGTGATCAGACCCAAACTTCCTCTCGGCCAAATTTTGAATCATGCAACCTGTGATGTTTATTCACTAAAAGCTGTTGAAACATTAATACAGGGACAATGTTATGGATATTGTTTTCTTTATTGTGTGTAAAATATGTTTTCTTTTGGTTTTATTGAAGCGTTAGATTCGAAGGGGATAACAAATATGCTAAAAAAAAAGTATTACATCAACCATGGAATGCGCTGACATTGCAGCTTTCACTTTCGCTACATGACAAATAAGATCTTGTTTACTTTGCAAATTTATTTCTCCAGACGCAACGGTCATTAATTTATTTGCAATTTTGCGAGTATTGCTTGTGGGTTTAGGCAAATGAAGTGAATTCTTTGGCTGTTTCATCACAGCGAGTTCATAGATCGGAAGGAAAATTAAATATTTGCAAGCCAAGCAAAGAATGTGTCAGAACATGCAAGGATTACGTCATTGGTAGGGAAATAACCACCATACTAAAGGTAGCCGTGGATAATGTAATTCTTGAATTATGTGGCTCGTGTGACTACTTTGCTACCCCTTTACTTATTGAAAAACCAATTAAATTTAATTGTGACTTTTAATAAAGAAAGCTGTTGTTAATAGCATTATTATCGAATCGTTTATATCGTTCATGCCCATACATAACCCGAGAAAAGTGATTAAGACCATTACGTTATCGGAGATTTCACAATGGCTATGACTGATAGTGCAATAATACAGTTTGTGTTGATCAAGTGATGTGATGTCTACAGTAATAAATGAATCATCAAGGACTACTTTGGAATGTGCACTGCATTGCGACTGTAGTGCTAAGAAAACAGTTAAATTTTAAAAGCGTGGTTATAAGATCTAACAGATCTTCTTGTTTTTGTGAGTTTTATACCTGTTTGCATATTTGCAGAAAATGTGCTTTAGAGGTTAGTTTTTAATCCACTCATTGTCATCTTTAGATTTTTCTACGTGACTGAAACCCGTCACTTCAACGTTCTAAGCCTGTTATTTGTTGTCACACTTGATTTAAACACAAGCATGTTGCATGAACTGAGGACTTGGACACTTATAAAAAATAGGTCCGCAATGCATACTTGTGAGCTTATGCTTAGTTTTATTCCATTCGGTTGGAGTTTGTTTTGAAAAGTCGGTATCTGGGAGTTTATAAGCGAGAAGGCAATCACTGCAAAGATAAAGGTGTTATTTTGAAACTGGAGACATTGTACTCATGGTAGAAGACTTGTGGCCCCTTGGTCACATTCTCAAAGTAAAACCAATCAGGAGAGATGGGCTTGTGGGGAGAGTCAGGCTGAAAACCAAGTCCATGGTCCTGGAATGTCCAACAAGATCGTTCTTTAGAGGGGCTGCTAGACTCCACAAGAGCAGCTAAACATTGTTGATCTTGATGTCCTCAATAGACTGCAAGCTGTCTCTCTTTTGCTTGGAAATCCGTGGGGAAGAACGTAATGAAGAAAGCAAAACAAGTGTGACTGTGAGTGTGACACATGACTTGAAATGGCAATGAGTATATTACGTGTCTTTTGTTGCTGACGAAGCCACAAGTGGTAATTATAAGTTGGCTGTCAGAAGTTGGGGGAGGAAGGTTCTTGCTTGAAATTGTTAAATTGTAGAGTGTTTTGTAAGGCAATCTATCGATGTCAATGGTAGAAGCAGCGGATTCTTGTGAATTAGGATGCTTTATCATATCTTTCCATTGCTGGGGTATTGTAGACAGCAAGCCATAATACTGTAAGAAGTTGCATTTTAGTTGAAATTTTTGCTGAAAACCATTGAAAGTAAGAAATTGGTTCTTATTCTTGTCTAACAGACTGGACAGCTTTTCAATGCCAGCATGATGCTAGTTTTCATAAAACCCCGACAGTTTACCAACTTTTATAAACCTGTTATTCCAGATGATTTGGTTCAGAGTATCCAATTTTCATTGCGGCACAGTGACGTTTAAATTTTGCCAGTACGAGATTAAATTCATATAGAAATTCAGAAAATTGTCATTAGTTTAGTTTCACATACTTGATGTCATAATTGCACTGAAAGAGTAATGAACCACCTACATTAGGAAGCAAAAAGTTTGGAATTTTCTTCCACAGGGACTCATCAGGTGAGCAAAGACGCTTCACCCAACATAAGTTTAATGCCTTATCAAACGTTGTAAAATCTGTCATTTTGAGTCCGCCTTCTTTACTTTTCATAATAGTGGATTTCTTAATTTTTGGCTGTTTGTATTTCCATATTTAATTAGATATTATTTTGTTGACATTATCCGAAAACGATACTGAAGTTTTAAGTGCGCTGCAAACAAGTGTCAGTTTTGAAAGCGCTTAAGTGTTACCTAATTTGATTCTTCCATAGAGTGTGATGTCTCTTGATGACCATATATTAAGAATTTTTTTCAAAGGATCCAGCTTGTCGAAGAAGTTTTTTTGTTCAGCCTTCTTTTCGTCATGAGAGAATTAAACACAAAGTGTAGGTTCATCAAGCAGAGTCAGATTTAAAATTTTATCTTTACAGAAATGTTTTGATCCTAATTGTAGCAGTCCTGATTTTGATTGGTTTATTTTCATTCCTGAACACTTTTCGAACACTGCAAGCAGGTCAAAGAGATTGTGAATGGATTGAGCATCTCTAACAATAATGCTGGTATCATCCACATACTGTGCCAGTTTTACACATCTTCCTGGGTTCAATTTCAAGCCCTTTGATGGAACGCGAGCGTCTTATTGTGCAGCCAAGAATCTCTATACCAATGACAATCAAAGGAGACCTATCGTCAAACTCGTGGATTAAGTAATATAGAGATGAAACATGTTGGTGAACTTGCAATTATTGGTGTATTTTTAAAGGCTGTTAAAACAAGCCGCGTTCGTACCACGCATGGTCGCACTTATCTCACAAAGCGTAGGCTTTTTTCGTTGGCTTTTGTTGCACACATATTACAGAATAGTTAGGGTGGCAAAATTGCAGCTGAACAGAGAGTGGTAAAGGCTAAGGGTTCTTGGGTCACAGAGGACACTCGTGCCAAAGAAATCAT